TTTGGAGAAACGAAAATCTGAAGTGGCTAAAATGAATGACGATGATAAAGATAATGAGATAGTTTTCAAACAGCCCATATCTGGTGTAAAAGAAGAAACAAAAGACACTCAGATGCCTACAAGTTCAAGGAAAAAAAGACGAAAAAAAAGCACCCAGTAATTCTGAATGTATTGTGTATGGTTGTTGTTCTGAAAAAGGTGATTTTATTATGGAGGCTGATTCTTTGTATTTAACTAGATAAGGTGGAATGCAATCAGTAACAAGATGGTTGGAGAAAAAACTGTCAATTCAAGTCAACAGGGAGAGCAGTCAGTGATATTGGCTTCCCCGCCCTCGCAGAAATGCAGGGGTGAGCACCAGCTCACAGCAGCCCGGCTCACGCTGCCTGTGCCCTGTCTCTACGGCTCTCTTCAGCTTGCATAGCTGCCTTTAGTTGCTCTGCCTGGGTAGCTTAAGTACTAGGCTGTAGCCTTTGTCGTTACCATCAAATAAAGAAAATAAAATCTTTACTAAGTGACCGTGTAAGTGGTTCTCTGCTAGACCCATCAGGTGGCTGAAACTGGACGTTAAATTGTATGAAGGGTGAGAAGGCAGCGTCACTATTAATAGGGATTCATTTATGTATATGTGATCATTTTTACCAATGTTGTTAGTTTGGGGTGGGCTAGCATGGATTAATTAATAACTACATCCTGTGTCAGTATCATCAATCTGGAATTAGACTTCAAGATTCAAGCAGTGACCGCCAGGTAAACTTTTTCTATATTTTTTTTGTATGCAAGGGGGACTTGGCTGTCTTGAAGTAAAATTGTTGGTTTTCACCTTTTCAACTATCTTTAAGTTTCTGATGCTCTTGAAATATGCTTTTGTATCAGCTAATTCAGGTTCATTAAAAACATTCATTGCCACCAAACATTTTTTTCATCTAATACTTGTTAAATACTTACTCTTATAAGATACTGGGCTGGGTGAGTTGGGTTTAAGTATATACAAAGGGCATGTTCTACCTCTGGGATAGTCCCTGATGCAAAGAGTATGCTCGCCCTGTGTTCACTGAGCTGCGTATCAGAACTGCCTCCCTCTTTGAACAGTGTCTGAACTTGTCGATCTGGAAGTCCATCTGGTGTCCCCTTCTGGGAAAGCAGCAGGTAAGCTCATCAGTGCAGCCTGTCAGGTTTTGAATAGTTCCCGGTTCCTGACCTACAACGCGGCCACCCCAGTGCGGCGTGGTACCACCTATCATCACTTGACGCGTGCTGTGCCCTGGAGCTGGGAGACAGTGATTTCATCTTGAGCAGATATCGCGGCAATGGATATTTCCTACAAGAAACAGAGTTGAAGTTAAAGAATGTTTTCCTGGGAACTAGGTTAGGATCTTCAGAAGAAGTAGCATGGGTTTGATTTTCAAGTTTTGTGGGGAGAAAATCATGAGTCAAGCGGAAACCCCATGGGCCAATAAAATATGAAACTTTGCAGTATGTGGGGTAAATAAGGTGAAGAGGATACAATTCAAAACTGTACATTGAGAATGACCACAAGTATGTAAAATGGTATTCTTCTTTAAATGGGAAGTTAAACATCAAAATTCTAATTTGAAAACAAGCATCTGTTGCTTTTATATATAATCATTACAAAAAAACTGTAGAGGAAAAAGGCATTATTCCAGAGACAAGATTCAGTTGTAGCCAGACATTTCACATGCTGTGTCATATTTGCCCTGAGATGGGGCAGCAAGTGAATAAATGCTTGACATGGTGTGAAAAGAGGTTTTCTCCTTTTGCTAGCATTATTTGGAATACATTGTGGCCATATCCAAGGCAACTGATTGCTATGACTGGAAATTGTCACCCTGGCTGACCATATGCTAATATGAACCCCAGTCTCGGTGTGATACAACAAAGGCTGTGGCTCAAAGACTGATACAAGGTAGGCAAGATAGGACAGTTGTCCCCATGCAGTGGCTGTGAAGCCGATGGCTGCATCTCCTTAGCCCACAAGTGTGATACATGTATATACATAATTTTGCACTTTCTGTAGGTGGAAATAATCATGTGGCTTAAACCTAACTATGTCGTAGGTCATCCTGTGGACCACAAGGCGATTGACTATACTGGGTCGAAGCCCAACCTTCTGCAGAGTTTTACATTTTTAAATGGTGGAAAAAAATCTAGAAGTAAATGTTACGGAGTTCCCTGGAGGCCTAGTGGTTAGGATTCCGGGCTTTCACTGCTGTGACCCCAGGTTCAATCCTTTGTCGGGGAACTGAGATCCCACAAGCCCCCAGCCAAAAAAAAAAAAAGTAAATTTCATAGCATGTGGGAATTCTATGAAATGTGAATTTCAGTGTTCATGGATCAAGATTTATTGGGTCACAGCCACGTTTATGGACCTACTGCCTGTGTATGGCTGCGTTTGTACTAGAAGAGTTTCGTTGTGATAGAGGCCGTGAGTGGTCCCTCAGTGCTTAGTACTCCTGCTGGCTGCATTACAAATTGCAGTGCCGTGGTTTTAGCGTGACACACTTTGCCACATGTATCGTGGTACCATGAATTTTGTGTATTTTTAACCATTGCATACCCATCATGTCAAAACGAGAAGGTGGACTTCGAGTATCATACTTAAGCTTGCGGTGGAGTGTGGGTTGTTTCATTAAACTAGATTGGCAAAGCATCGTGTCTGTTTTGCAGTGACCCTCCAGCTGTGCTTAAAAAATACAGTATATGTTGACACTACCCAGCCAAGTACCCATCACAGTATTCCCAACTCAGGAAAGCAACAGCTAGAAGAAATAGCATTTTTTAAATGGAGTATCTCAGCACACGATTTCTCGATTCCCCCCAAAAATGAGAATGAGACTGTAATTAAAGTTTCCTAGTGGCTTATTTGATAGGCAAGCAAGGAAAGCCTTTTACCAATGACAAGGTAATTGTGTCAGATTGCAGCAGCTGAAGAAATGGGTCCAGATAAAATAAACGTTTAAAGACTCGGCCTTTTAGCAAGAACAGTTTCTTGAATAGAGGAAGCAACATGAGTCCGTTTAAAAACAAGGCAAATGATTTCAAATGTTTCTCCTTGGCTCTTGATGAGTTAAAAGATGTTCCCAATACTGCTCAACTGAATATTATTCAAAAAGTCCTCGCCAAGTTTGACGGGCAAGCGTGACCAACTCAGCCTGGTTTGCCCAGAACCTTTCTGGGTGTAACCCTGGACGTCCCACGTTGTGGGAACCCCCTCAGTCCAGGGCTCACATGGAGAGTTTACCACTCTAGAAATGACTGAAGCATTAGCCTCTCTGGGTAGTCTGTGTGGAACAACTATAAGCAAAAATATTTTCACAGTTGAGAAAAAAATCAGTACAACCTGGAGTGGAATCTCCCACCATGTGCCACAACCAATGGTGGTATAAAAATATGTGGGAAACAGAAAAAGGCTTAGTTAGACAAACAGTTTGTGAAAGCAAAGTGTTTAAAGCCTGTTGTATTATTGTGTTATTCACCAGCAAGTACTTAGAAAATATGTATGTGAACGTAAGATGCTAATTTTACTGTACGTTAATTTTTAAAACTATATAAATTTCTAAAATTAAAGAAAAATATGTGAGCCTATCCTGTTGCTGAACCAATAGTGTCACTGGTGTACTTCATTTGTTATGGCCTTAGCCATCATCACTCGGTTCCGTGAGTTTTTTGATAGAAATAGAGGCTAAAGTCCTGACTTGACCTCACACACAGCAGTTCGATGGCTTAGCTGTGGTAAAGTTTTACTGAGACTCTCTGACTTCACCACCAAGATTGCAAATTCCAGAATGAAAAGAACCAATCTGTACCGTCATGGAACGCTGAATGGCTTTGGAAATTAACTTTTGCTGGAGACTTGATGTTTCTTAATGAATTTAAGTCAGTGAGTTCAACTAATAATTAAAAGTCAAAGCACCATGTATATTCAAAACTTATTGGTGCTAAAGTCACTTTGATCACAACTAACACTTAAACACAAGAAATGTCCTGCTGCTTTATATACTTGCTGTGCTGTGAAAAGTTAAAATGAAGTGAGATCTCCATACCCACACAAATTTGCAGCAGATATAGTTTCCAACCTCAAATTACAGTTCCAGCAGTGTTTTTCAGACCTCAGTACAAGTGCAAAGGAAATCTATTACAAAATCCTAACTGGATTAAATTCTGTGGGATGGATGGCCTGCAGCTATCTTTCAGCTGAAGGTGACTACCTGCAATGTAATGAATGACGTGCTAAAGGGCGCATGTCAACACGAAGCGGAGAGAATTGTACAAATGTCTTCAAAGTGAGGAATATACTCAAAATCAAATGTTTGGGGATTGATCTCAGTACTTGACAGTACCTATCGGTGTGAAAAATCATTTCAGAAGATGAAATACATGAAATATGATTACAGATCAACATTAAAAGACGAACATTTGCAGATGACTTTGATCATAGGAAACAGTAACTTGACACCTTCTGTGAAAACTAATTCAAAATGTATCAAAGGACTTCCCTGGTGGTGCAGCGGTTAAGAATCCGCCTGCCAATGTAGGGGACGTGGGTTCGAACCCTGGTCCGGGAAGATCCCACATGCCACGGAGCAGCTAAGCCCGTGCACCACAGCTACTGAGCCCGCGTGCCTAGAGCTCATGCTCTGCAACAAGAGAAGCCACTGCAATGAAAAGCCCGCGGGATTTTAATTATTTTTTTTAATGTATCAAAGACCTAAGTGTAAAACATAAACTAAAAAACTGAATCACTTTGCTGTACACCTGAAACTAACAAAATATTGTAAAACAACTATACTCCAATTTAAAAAACAGATAAGCTATGGCTGGGTGAAAATATCTGCGGAGGACTTTTTTCCAGAATGGAAACAAAACAAGCAGCCCAAATTGTCTTATGGAACCCAATTTCTGCCTTCTGACCATAAAATGGAAAGTAATACAGACTGTTTTCTTTTTTTTGCCTTACCATGCGGCTTTCAGGATCTTAGTTCCCCCACCAGGAATCGAACCTGGGCCACTGCAGTGGAAGAGTGGAGTCCTAACCACTGGACCACAAGGGAATTCCCCAGACTATTTTATTTTTCTTTTTTTTTTAATACTTAAAAAATTTTTATTATTTATTTTGGCTGTGCTGGGTCTTAGTTTCGGCACACGGGATCTTCCTTGCGGCATGTGGACTTCTCAGTTGCGGCAGGCAGGATCTATTTCCCCAACCAGGGATCTAACCTGCGCCCCCTGCATTGGGAGCACGGAGTCATACCCATTGGACCACCAGGCCCCCCCCAGACTATTTTCAATTCTTGTATTCTCATTAAGGACTCAGGCATGATATATGAGATAATAAGGAACATTTATTAAATACTCGCATGTGTCAAATACTGCTGTAAGCATTTTCAGCATATTAGCTAATTTAATCAGGACAACCTGTGAAATAGATACATCTGAATCCTGAGGAGACTGAAGCCCAGAGAACTTAAAGATGGTGAGCCAGTTCAGCTTACTCAAGCCATTACTCATGCCCTCCAAAAGGACGGGCATGCAAGCTAGATTGTTAGTGACATTCGGAAAAAGAGGAGACACAAAAGCCTTGCGCTGACAAGACCTGGTGACTTATTGAAGTGGAGGCAGAAATGGGGCACTGGGGCAGGCTGGGGAGGAGGAGGCCAATGAGATGCATGCATTCTTAGGAGCTTGGCTTCGAAATAACTGACAGCAACAGAACGCTAGGTGGCAGTAGATCCCAGGCACTTCAAATCCACAATCTATGCCATTCACTTGAGGAGCCTGGGGGCTTCCCGGGTCGCGCAGCGGTTAAGACAAGAATCCGCCTGCCAATTCAGGGAACACGGGTTCGAGCCCTGGTCCGGGAAGATCCCACATGCCGCGGAGCAACTAAGCCCGTGTGCCACAGCTACTGAACCTGCGCTCTACAGCCCACGAGCCACAACTACTGAGCCTGAGCGCCACAGCTACTGAAGCCCACGCGCCTAGAGCCTGTGCTCCGCAACAAGAGAAGCCACCACAATGAGAAGCCCGCGTGCAGCAACCAAGAGTAGCCCCCGCTCGCCGCAACTAGAGAAAGCCCACACGCGGCAGCGAAGACCCAATGCAGCCAAAAATAAATTAATTTTTAAAAAAAAGGAGCCTGGCAAAATGCAAAATTATTAAAGGGATTAACCCTAATGGTAACTTTAAAAAAAAAAAAAAGACCTCCCTGTGCAAACTGTTATATACAGAATGGGTTAACAAGAAGGCCCGGACCTACTGAATAGCACAGGGAACTCTACACAATACTCTGTAATGGCCTATATGGGGAAAGAATCTAAAAAAGAGTGGATATACGTATACGTATAACTGATTCACTTTGCTGTACAGCAGAAACTAACACAACATTTATATCAACAATACTCCAATAAAAATTAAAAAATAAAACAACAAGGTCCTACTGTATAGCACAGGGAACTATATCCAATATCCTGTAATAAAACATAATGGGAAAGAATATTAAAAAAAGAATATATGTATAACTGACTTTGCTGTACAGCAGAAATTAACACAACCTTGTAAATCAACTATACTTCAATTAAAAAAAAAATCTCAGGACTTCCCTGGTGGCGCAGTGGTTAAAACTCCATACTCCCAATGCAGGGGACCCGGGTTCCATCCCTGGTCCGGGAACTAGATCCCACATGCATGCCGCGACTAAGAGTCCGCATGCCACAACTAAGGAGGCGGCACAACCAAATAAATAAAATAAATATTAAAAGAAAAAACTCTCCCTGGGAAGCATCATTTTACACACACACACACACACACACACACACACAGCACTAATTTCTAGACAACTAGAGACAGAAACTGCCACTATGAAATGCCTCTTAAGCAACTGGATGCTTAATAACATCCTTTGGGTAATTGGTTATTGTTAAAAATGAATTTGCCAAAGGATTTCAGATCACCAGTAATACAACATACTGATGACATGAACCATGAAAGTTTTTAGCTTATAAATTTGCATGTAGTTATGAACAAGCACAGCTTAGGGTCATTGGGCAATAATTATAGGTAAATGGTTTTATAATTTGGTGTTCCCCAGTGTGTATTAGAATTTGGTGGCTGTATTTTTTTTAAGGATTTTTTAAATTTATTTATTTAATTTATTTATTTTTGGCTGCGTTGGGTCTTCGTTGCTGTGCGCGGGCTGTCTGTAGTTGTGGTGAGCGGGGGCTACTCTTCGTTGTGGCGCGCGGGCTTCTCATTGCGGCGGTTTCTCTTATTGCAGAACGTGGGCTCTAGGCGCATGGGCTTCAGTAGTTGTGGCCCGCGGCTCAGTAGTTGTGGCTCGCGGGCTCTAGAGCGCAGGCTCAGTAGTTGTGGCGCACGGGCCCAGCTACTCCACGACATGTGGGATCCTCCCGAACCAGGGCTCTAACCTGTGTCCTCTGCATTGGCAGGCGAATTCCCAACCACTGGGCCACCAGGGAAGCCCTGGTGGCTGTATTTTAAAGAAGATTTCATACAAGAACTTGGCTTTACTGTCATCATCACTGTAAACATCTTTAGCCCATGGTGTTCAGAGTATCTCCTATCCTGCACTCTCTGTGCTCATTTAGTTTTATTTTTTTATTCCTGAGGCCTGAATTATAAGCACGAAGTAAACACTGGACTTAAGATTTGGTGCATTTTTCTATTTCAATTAGTAAATCTCAACATTTGGAATTATTTTCAAGTTATAGCTGGGTGTTATATTTCTGGCCATTTTGCTCTCGGAACAAAAACAAACAAAACATAGTTGTTTGGGAAGTTAGGTTTTCACTTGGGTGGAGAGCTACTGTCCCATTGATCCAATTAGGGAATATTTCACATGCTTACCTACAAATTTCTCCTGTGTCCCAGGAACCAATCTGTTTAGAATTAAATTGCTCACCAAGTAACTGGGCGGCCTGCTCTGCTTCTGTGTGCTAACAGAAAGAAGGAGATGAATCTGTAGCCATGATATGGAAGTTACATTTCTGTGCTGATAAGTGGCCAAGTTTAGAATCTCCCATTATAAATAAGTGCTGTCAACCCTACGGTGCCCAGGCAAAGAAGCTCAGACATTTGATACTTTCCAAACATAGTTTCCGTAGCAAATGTGCCCTGAGCGATGCTGCTGGTCTCTGGCAGCTCCATTCACAGGTCCTCCTGTGATTTGAGCTCCAAAAGGAAGAACTGTAGCCTTGGCATGGGGGGAGGAGCACAACTTTTGCAAGAGGAACTAAGGAAACAATCCTAATTACCCATCCAAGAGAGAAACTATTCAGATGGTTTTTGGCAGGGATACAGGATCGTCACTGATGATTTTTTTTTCTTCTGAAGGAAGGTAGTGTCATGTTTTTCTTCTATTTCTGCTTTAACACTTAGCTAGATGATAAATATTGTGGCTTTCTTCTAATTGGCTTTTAAAAAAATCACTGCCGATGCATTTGCCCGGTATAATAAAAATTGCAGGGACTTACCTGATGGTCCAGTGGTTAAGACTGCCTACTTCCACTTCAGGGGGGTACAGATGCGATCCCTGGTCTGGGAACTAAGATCCCACATGCCACGCAGTGTGGCCAAAAATAAATTAATTAATTAAATTAAAAATGCAAACAAGTCGTTTAGTAAATGCAAATTGAATAAGTGTTTCCTACCTTGCAAATATGTAACGTAGCCCGTTACCTGACTGATGTTAAAGTAGAACCAGTCGTATACAGGCATAGGTTAGTCAGACAGCTCACTGTTTATGATTTCCTGGTGACTTTTTCCCTTTTTTTTCAATTTAAGTCATTGCCTGTGTAGTTAATACATGCAAAAGGTACCGAGGGAAAAGCCAGTCTGTCCCGTCCTGTTAATCTGCTCACTGTGCTCCAGCCCACCAGCCTCCCCAGGAAGCTCCCCAGTCCCTTGAAGAAAGAGGCCCTGTTTCCTTCCCCTTCATCGTCTGTTTACTGTTATTCTAATTGTCTATCTCCCCAGCCCACCCCAGGTACCCGCATTACTAAGGGTGGGAGCTCTGTCTTACTCTGGTTGCATTCCCAGTGATTGAGACAATGCTGGTACATGAACTGACCCACTCAAAACATATCTGAGTCCCGGCCATGTGTCAGGCACTAGGGATTCAAAGTGAACAAAAACCAGCAAAAACTGTTTACAGTAGCCAGGACATGGAAACAACCTAAATGCCCATCGACAGAGGAATGGATAAGGAAGATGTGATACATATATTCGGTGGAATATTACTCAGCCGTTAAAAGGAATGAAATTGGGTCATTTGTAGAGACATGGATGGACCTCAAAGACTGTCATACAGAGTGAAGTAAGCCAGAAAGAGAAGAACAAATATTGGATACTAATGCATATATGTGGAATCTAATAGATGATCTTATTTTCAAAGCAGAAATAGAGACACAGACGTAGAGAAAAAAACATGTGGGATGACTTGGGAGATGGGGATTGACATATATACACTATTGATGCTATGTATAAAATAGATAACTAATGAGAACCTGCTGTATAGCACAGGGAACTCTACTCAGTGTTCTGTGGTGACCTAAATGGGAAGGAAATCCAAAAAAGAGGGGATATATGTATACGTATAGCTGATTCACTCTGCTGTACAGCAGAAACTAACACAACGTTGTAAAGCAACTACTATTAAAAAAAAACAAACAGCAAAAACTCCTGTCCTCGTGCAGCTTACATTCTAGTACTGTGAGACGAGCAATTATCAAAGAAGTAAGAGAAATATATACTGTGCAGAAAGTGGTCACTGCTGTGGAGAAAAATAAGACAAGGGTACAGGGACTTCTAGGGGTGGAAGTGGGGCTGCCCTTTAAGGGGGTGGTCAGGAAGGCCTCACTTTGAAGTTGACATTTGAGCAGAGACCCCTTAACGTGGGAAGGGAGCGAGCCATGCAGAGATCTTGCCCAAAAAGCTTTCCAGGTGGAGGGAACCGTAAGTGCAAAGGCCCAGAGGTGGGAGCAGCCCTGGCTAGTCCAGCAACAGCAAGGAGACCAATGCAGCTGGAGCAGAGTTG